GATGGACGTGTCAATCCTTCACTATTGCCAAAGCCAGAAGCAGTCGGACAGACTCCATGCGCGCTACCGACGCAAAGACTTACTCAAAGTCGATGCCCTCGCGTTGGACAAAGCCTTGGGCGATGAAGCACGCCTTGTGCTTGACAATGGCACCATGCTCGTCCTGCTTGACCTTGTACACCCACTTCAGCCCGATCGGACAGCATCCTGGAGGTGGATCGACGAGCTCCCAAGTCTCGTTTTCCTCGATCGCCTTCATCTCCTCCAGCATCACCCATCGCCAATTTGCATTGTGCTCGGCCAGCGCGAACATGGGTGGTTCCTCTGCACTGACGAGAAGCAGCTCTAGGTCATTGAGTAGCCGACCCGCTAGGCCTGAGGGCCCTGTGCCACCGATGATGTCGTCTAGCCTACGGAACCGCACCTCCTCACTGTCGTGGAAGGCATCCACGAACTCAGTGATATCGCTTGGAGGTGAGGCGAACTCGATCGACGTCGATGGAGTTCCCTGTTCCGCCGGAGTGGTCGACACAGCACCTGGAGTGCTCGGCACCCCGGCTGTAGTGCTCGGCACTACTTCTGGACCGTCTCGTCACCACTCCTAGAGTGGTCGGTACCACTGTAGGAGTGCTCGGCACTAGTCTTGGAGTGGTCGACACCACTGCAAGACCTCTCGGCTCTGCTACGGGAGCGTTCACCACCCATCCTAGAGTGGTCTACACCAATGCAGGATCGCTCAGCACCACTCCTGGAGTGCTCGGCACCCCTCCCGGAGTGCTCGGCACCGCCCCAGGAGTGCTCGGCTCTGTTGCTGGAGTGAACGACACCTCCTTTCCAGCGTCTCCACCACCGTGGATGACCAAGTGCTCGATGACGAAGGTGTTGGTGAAGCCGCCAGCTTCCCCCATGCCCGGACTATCCCAGTCCCAGGCAGCTTTCTCGTCGAACATGACGTCGCGCGAGACAAGCACCTTGCCTCCGCATGGGTCATAGAGCCAGTATGCCTTGGTACCTTCTGCGTAGCCTAGGAGCACCATCGGTGTGCTCCTGTCTTCGAGCGTGCCGAGGTGAGGCTTAGTGTTCCTCACATGGCCGACGCAACCAAATGTCCTAAGGAAGGACACATTTGGCTTGCATCCATGCCAAGCCTCGAACGATGTCTTGCCCTTCATGGCCTTGGTGGGTGCGCGGTTGAGGATAAACACCACCATGGTCACCGCCTCACCCCAAAACCTTGCCGACATGCCCTTGGCCTTCATCATGGATCAAACCATGCTGACCACCATCTGGTTCCACCGCTCCACCACGCCATTCTGGTGTGGCGAGTATGGCGCGGTGTGGTGTCACACCACACCCTAATCCACGTAGTATGCAGCGAACTCCACCGAAGTGCCGCCATGTTCAGTCCTCAGCACGCATAGCTTCTTGCCGCTCTCTGCCTCCGCGCATGCCTTGAACTTCTTGATTGCCGCCGCCGCTGCCTCATCCTTGCTCGTCAGGAGTTGCAGCCACATATAGCAACTACAATCATCCATGAGCAGGAGGAAGTACCGTCGACCACCGTTTGTGGCTGGCGTGATTGGCCCACAGAGATTGCCGTGGATGAGCTCGAGAGCGTTTGCCACATAATACTTGGTCGCCTTTGGGAATGGTAGCCTCCTCTACTTCCTGGCTAGGCAGCTGTCACATAGCTCGCCTGCGTGCTTGATGTGGGACAGCCCTCGAACCATCTTCTCCAGCCGTCCTAGCGCGTCGAAGCTAAGATGGCCGAATCGGGCATGCCACAGCCATGGATCCTCGGTGTGCCGTGCTACCAGGCACACCGGCTGCTCCACCTTCAAGTCGAGCAGGTATAGCCAGTTCCGGGACCTCTTCACCTTGGCAAGAAGGTGCTGCTCCCGATCCTTGATCTTGAGGACACCGTCCATAATTAGTACCTCGCTACCGCGCTCATCCAGCTGCCCAATGCTGATGATGCTTGAACACAGCTGCGGGATGTAATATACATCTGTTAGCGTGAGGTGCTCGCCATTCTTGCACCTAAAGATGATGGTGATGTGCCCTCGGATTGCCACCCTTGAGCCATCACTGAACTTCACCGTGCCGGTCATGTTGCCATCGAGCTCAGAGATGGCTTCCTTAGAGCCCGTCATGTGGTTACTGGTGCTAGAGTCCAGATACCACCGCTGCTCCTGTCCGCCGCCCACATGTCCGAGGTGGACTTGGGCACGCAGTTCATCGAGGTGGACAACCTTCAGAGCCTTCCTAGGATCTTCCACCGCCATCCCCTCTCCCTTCTCCTTGGCCTCAATGTTGTGTAGTGCACAGAATGTCGCCATCAGGAGAGTGGCCTTATCATCATCATCAGCCTGCGCCAGATGAGCATCAGCCTTCTTCTCCTGCTTGCGATTTGGGCACTCCTTTGCCTAATGGCCCGTCTTCCCGCAGCGCTGGCAGGCGTTGGGGTCGACCTTCTTCTTCTTCTCCGAAGAAGCCTTGCCGCGGCGCTTGCCATCGCCACCGCGGCTGGATGAGGCTTCCCCGGAGTTCCTCCGGGCAGCCCACTCCTCCTCTGTCAGCAGCAGCTTGCCGATGTCCATCGTTGTTGTGGCCTTCTCCATGCGCTCGTCCACTGCCCGTAGACGGCCTGTCACATCTTCAATGATGAGGGTGGACAAGTCCAGCATCGTCTCTATGGAGAGAGCGATCTAGATGTACTTCGCCGGCATGGAGTGGAGGTACTTAAAGACCGCCTCTTCTTCGTCGATGGTGACGCCGTGGCTCCTCAGCTTGCTAATGAGCATCTGTAGGCGGAGGGAGAAGTTCTCCACCGATTCACCATTCTTGAACTTGAGGTTGGCGTACTCCTGCTTCAGCAGCTGGGCCGTCGCCTTCTTTGCGCGGTCGGAACCGACGCGCGTTGCCACAATGGCCTCTCACGCCTCCTTAGCAGAGCTCTTCGCCCCAACGGCTCCCTGTACTCCGCTGGCACAGCAGCGAGGATAGCCTCCAACGCTGACATGTCGTCTTCTTTGTTGTCGATGTCCTTGTCAATAGCATTCCAGAGCCGTCGGGCTCTAAGCTTGACCTTCATGGTCACCGCCCACTTGCTATAGTTGGTGCGAGTCCGCGTCGGCCAACTAGTGCCGCTGACCTCCAACACCGTGCGTATAATGACCTCCTATCGTGGCTGGGCAGCGACAGCAGCGCTGCTGCTGTCGCCCATCTCCAAACCGTTCGTCATCGCCAGCGGTTAGTCCGATGACGGTGCTTGTGTGGCTCTGACACCACTTGTTGGCCCCCTGGATCCTCGGAACGGGTGAGCCGACCACTCACCTACGTCGCCGACCACATACTATGGCTAGAGGTAGAAGAAGAGAGGGAGAACAGAGCGCGCACACACTGCACAAGCACCAGCGTTGGCCGGAGCTCTGCAGAGGAGATGACAAAACTGAACTCGCTCTCTTTACTGAGTTGCAGTAGGAAGCTATATATACAACTGTACCCATCTAATTATAGTACACAGACATATCAGGCTGCCATGTTGCTACAGTGGCTAGATGTTACAGCAGGGCTGACTTTGGCGTCTGCCCCTGCTGTGGCTACAGAGCCGCAGGGGAGCCTTTCGGCGTCTGCCCCTGCAATAGCTACAGTGCAATAGCAGGGAGCCTTTCGGCGCATGTCCCTGCCGTGCGTTCATACAGGGGAGCAGCAAATTATTTAACACACTCTATGTGAATTCATCACACCCATTGTTGAGCTTAATTTCAATGAGAAACTAGCCATGGGCAGGGAGTGCTTGGATGAAGAGAAGACAACTCACATGGTCGAGCTCAATGCTAATGAGGTGCTTACCCATGTTGGGGATGAGATGCACGCCAATCTTGGCATGGATGGGGACTGTACATCTGGACTTGATACATGATGTGCTAATTTATTGCAGCAATTGGCCTGGGGTAGAGTGGTCTTTGATTATGAAATGAGAAAGTCTATTACTGAGCCGATCCTTCGAGATGTTCTCACCTATGTTGGCAGCTCAACTGTTACCATTGATTCTGACATGCAGCTCAGTGATCAAGTTTGCAAGTCTGAGTTATTTGTGATGCTTATCTAATTGAAGTGAAACACAAGGAAGGATTCATTTCTATGAGCCGATGGGATCCTGGAATTTGGAGCTATCTTGTCATGGGATTGACCTTGAGAATGGGTGAAATACCAGTCTTAACTACGTTCATCCAGAAGTTTTCAGAAATGTTCAGTTTGCCAATACCCTGTATCATTATCCTCACAAGGCACTTGGCTCATTTGTTGTTGATAGGATGCATGGATTTTTGTGATATCTCAAATTTTGTCAATCAAATTATGGTGCAAGCAGCAATCAATCCAGGCCTATCGGACCAAAGATTAGGTATGCATAGCAATCTGTTGGAGAAATCTGTATGGGAGTTAAATATTAAGCAGGGACAGAAAGGCACCAATTTTTCTAACCAAGAGTTGAATTACGACAGTGAGAAGTTGGTCATCTGGGAACAAATGCAAGGATATGATGAACTGACACCCTGGAGGCTCAATGCCTTAAGCCCTCGACATTACAATACTGAAATTGCTTGCAGTCGGTTCAGTCCATGGAGCAAACATACTCCTGCCCATAGCAGCAGCAACTTGAGATATATAGGATGCTTGACAAACAATGGGATCCAGGAATTCATAGACCTGTGCTCATTCACACAAAATCAGTGCTGATTATTGGCTCATTCTGGAGGTCTGCTAGTCACCTCGTGGATAAGGCTACCAGGGGAACTTCTAGTTATCATTACTTTGTGAGGGCTGTAACATAATTGTGTGACATAGATAACATGCGAAAGATGGAGTTCAGCTTCTTATTTGATAGTTATCTGATTGATCTTCAACACAAGAAGACACATGTTTCTTTTCGGCAGTGGGATCCAGGCATCATACAATGGATTGGGCATGAATATAATTGCTGCAGTGGAAGTTTTTCATGGATTGAAAACTTTGATGTTTTGTGCAAACAATTCTTGAACACCACAGCTTGGGGACAAGCTGTGTTTTGCAGCGGGGGTAATGTCATACCCAGCAATACCAGGGATTATGCCCAAGTGGAACAATGGGCTGGCAAGCCCATTTGCCGCTGTCACAGCCCAAGTGTCGGTCCAAGACTAAGTCTACAAAACAACAGCCACACACATCATCAGGCATCGAACAGAAGTGAGGAATATTTTCCAAAACGTCGTCCTCTTCCTTGGGAAGGAGCGGCTAGGTGAGCTCATCGAATCCTCACGTCCCGGTCCTCACCGACGGCGGCAACGGGGTGTGACAGTCTGCTATGGATAGGACTAGAAAGCCAGGCGCGGCCTTGCCGTGCCAAGCCAAATTGGCCCACTTTTGATCGGCCGACATATAAGCTCTTTTTTAATGATATATATTTGCGTTATTTCTGTGGTTAATGTTAATTAGTGAGTATATAAGTAAAATTTCTATAGCGTATTGGATTACAGTGTTTGAAGCACATAATAAACAGAAATAATCACAAGGGTACAATTTCTCATAGTCAATTATGCGCAAAAGAATAAGCTTTTTTTTGAAATAAAATATTAAGCGTTCAGTTCAAAGCAGCAAAGTAGCCGTTGTTCCTAAAATGTGATTCTTGAGATGAGTATGTAGCTTAGTAATATCTAGTGTTAGTTTTGTGTCTGCCCAACTTTGCAACATATAAAAATAAGTGATATTTCTAATATTTAATTAGGAGAATTACAAAGTGATGTAGTTTACTTGTTTATTTCATCTGCTTTGATCAATCAGAACATTGTCAATCACTATAATGAATTTACAGTATATTGAAGAGGTAGTATATATATTCACATTGCGGATATGTAGATTGAAAGTTGAAGGAGCTTTACATGAAATAAAACGGAACAGACCAATTCACATATGGGAAATGCTTCGTTTGAGCGAGCTTTTTATCTAAACTCCAGAAGACCCGTAAAAATGAGCAGCATATGATTTAACAATATATTGAAACAACAAACACTGTAAATCAGGCTGGACCAATGATCGGAGGACTGAAGTATTGAAGTAATTTGGCAGCCTTCTTACCTGAACAATACTGAGGGTTGCAGAGGTAACAGGGTCTGAAAAATCACCACCAGGAGGAGAGACGACTCCAACAATTGTGGCACTGCCAGTCCGGTCTGGACTTCCCAGGCATTTCACCGTACCAGCACGTTCATAAAAGGATGCCAAACGTGCAGCCAAGTAAGCTGGGTAACCACTATCAGCAGGCATTTCAGCCTGGACCAAACAAAGTGCACCATTAGTTGTGAAGTCACATAGACAGAATGTGAAAAATGATCAACACAACAAAACAGAAGTTCAAAGTATTTCATATTATCTCAGAGCTCAAACTGCTTTACTAGTGTTATAGGCCTGTTTGCAACTTAAACGTAGGCCCATCCGAGTCATTCATTTCTCTTAATCATCAGTACCACTATGTAAGCTTATAAATCACAAATTAATGGCATAATATTTACATAATTATGTAGTGACGTTCCTAAATATAAGTTTATGAGTCAACCTTAGTACGTGGCCAAATGATGGTACCAGAAATGGGACATCATACCAAATTGTGATAGCAGATTCAGGTAGCGACAGAAATCATGGTAATTGACAAATACTCCCTCCGTTCCAAATTATACAATGTTTTGACTTTTCTAGATACATGATTTTATTATGTATCTAGACATATTGTATATCTAAATGCATAGTAAAATCTACGTATATAGAAAAGCCAAAACGCCTTCTAATTTGGAATGGAGGGAATAATATGCAATAAGAGAAAAACCAACATCACTAAAAGATCATGTTGGCATTACACCTGATGAACCAGACTAATTTTTGTAAAAAAAACGTTCAATATAATATGTTATTTACTTATTTTAAAAGACACCAATTTGAGGACATAAGATGAGTAACATACCAAACGCCATGAGATCTCACACAATGCCTCAGCCCATCGGGAGGTGGAGTCAGCCATCATACTGACGCTGTAGCCCATATCACGGAAATACTCAGCAATTGTAATTCCTGAGGGAAAAAATGTACAATTATGATCGTTAACAGAAACTCTGCACTAAACAGCGACAAGCAAAGATACAGCTGACAGACTGACAGAGGCACCCATCAAGACTGTCTCCTAGTCCTAACCATGTAATATTTCAATTTTGGTAATACATGCACATGGATAGGTTGCTGTGAAATATTTCTGATATTGATATATTCCCTACCACAGCACTAAGTTTCAGACTTGATATCTGTGGCTACATGGCCAAAGGTAAAGCAACAGGGTTTTACTTGTCCAAGGGGATGTTTGAATCCGGTGACTAAACTTTAGGAGGTGTCATATAGGGGTGTCGTATAGGGTGTTCGGATACTAATAAAAAAATAAATTACATAATCCGTCAGTAATCCGCGAGACGAATTTATTAAGCCTAATTAATCCATCATTAGCACACGTTACTGTAGCACAACATTGTCAAACCATGGACTAATTAGGCTTAAAAAAATCGTCTCGCAAAATAGTCTCAATCTGTGCATTTAGTTTCGTAAATAGTCTATATTTAATACTCCATGCATGTGTCTAAACATCCGATGAGATAGCAACTAAAGTTTAGGAGGTGGAATCAAACACCCCCTAAATGGAGGCTTCGTTGAGGTTTGGTTACTTGGCGGGCGGTATCAGGTGTCTTATCGTTCGTGTTGCTGTAGTGTGAGTCCGACAGCGAGCTCCTCACGCCACCGACATGGGTGATGATGGTCTTGTACCAGTGGATCGAGTTGCCAGACATTCGCTCTCCTGTGTTGCCGGTGTTGCGTGCGTGCTCGGGGTTTCGGAAGTCGGGAGGACTGATGATTCGTCCTGGTGCTTCTTGGCCATAGTCTTTGTGTCGTTTTTGGAGGCCTTAGTTGTCAGCACATTTATGACCCCGTTTAGAAAGCAAACCTCTCCTAACCATTCTTCTTCAAAGAGACAAACGCAGTTGACAAAGGAAATACAAGTTGAGACTTGAGAGTGCGGCGCCCACATGAGTTATAAATTCTACTATGGAGTGAAATAAATAGTAATTCAGTTATCACTTATCACTCTGGCGACAATGTTGGCTTGTGATTGAATATCGGTATAAGCAATGTGAATGTGTGTGTTTACCTCATATACAAGGGCATAGAGTGGACGGGTGTATAGCTGCATATAAATTGGACAATAACCCTGTAAAACAAAGAACAAAATTGGTTTATAAGAAGTAGAACTTTATGAACAGATGAGCTCAATGTTGTCGTTGAAGCAGGATCTCAGGCTGAATTCGTACTGCACAGATGTTCGTCATCAGCATTTCATCGAACACTATGAGGGCATCCATGGAACATGCCCGGCCCGGCCCGCGTTCAATAAGGCACGACAAATTTAAGGTCGGGCCTGCATGACCCGATTATTAATTCCTTGGCCCTAAAAAAAAGTTTCGCTTTTTTTCTTGGCCTCTTTAGTTTTGAAACTTACAAATTTTGCCCAAAATCCAACTTTTGTTTCTTATTTAGCCCTTCCGTTAGATTTAGCCAGTGGTGTTAAGTAGTGCGTGAATTAACGTTTTTACCCCTGGGCAAGATAAGCAAAGTTAAGTTCGGTTGAAAACTTTAACGGAAATGCTACGTACAGGGCGTCCGTCCGTCTAGACGTCCCTTGATGGGCCTCCATACCAGCCCATAAACCTCTGCTCTGCGTCCGCTCATTTTTTTATTACAGTATCTGCGTCCGTCTCTTCCGTTATGCCGGTTAGATAAGGAAAGGAGAAGGAGACGAGAGACCTGCTCCGCACGTCGACGGTGCCCCCGCCTACTCCTGCTCCATCGGCCGCCCTGCTGCTCCTGCTCTGCGGCCCGCTCCATCGTCGACGTTCACCCCATGCTGCTCCTTCCCTTGCTCCACCGTGCCACCCCTCTGCTTCCTCCTGCTGCTTCTGCTCTGCGGCCTGCTTCGCCTGATGGCGCGGGCTCCCTCGGCCGCCAGCTAGCCACTGGGCCGCTGCGCAAGGAAAAGCGTAGGGCCCTGGCGCGGAAGCCCTCCGGCCTTACCTCCTGCTATGGCTGCGGCGCCCCGATGCATACGACGGAGGAGGCCGCACCAAGATACGGTGCATATTGCAAAAGTACATTTTAAATGTTTCAGATGTTTTAAAGGTACATTGCAAGTGTTTCATAAGGATGTTGCAAAACTAAATCGGGATTTTGCATGTGTTGCAATGGGCTATACATGTATGTTTTAAGTGTATGTTCCAAATGTTTCACCTGTTTCAAACGTATATTGCAAGTGTTTCATTTGGGTGTTGCAAAACTAGATCGGGATGTTGCATATATATGCAATTGTTTCAAGTGTTTTCATACTATGTTGCAACTGTTTCATCTTGATGTTTGCATATTTTTGCAATGGCTACACACATGTTTTCAAGTTTTTTCGGTGTTTTGCAAGTGTTTCAGACGTATGATGCAAGTGTTTCAGCTGTTTTGGACGTATGTTGCAAGTGTTTTATCTGTATGTTGCAAAAGTAGATCAGATGCTGCACATGTTGTAATGCACGTGAGAAGCAGAGGGGGCGCGAGCGGTCCCTGCGCGTGCGTGGTCTGGCGGTGCGGGCCCTGTGTGGGCGCGTGAATTGTAGGCTCGGGCGGGGGCATGCTGGCCCGAGCGTAGGAAACGGGAGTGCAACGCGGGCATCCGAATGATCGGGCGCTAGCACTGACAAAACTTGAAACACCGGGATGCTTGATTAGGTCAGTATTCATCATTGTTGTTGTGGCTTGATTGTGAGTGTATCCGAAAACGAATGTGTCTCTTCTTCCTTTTCAAAAGTCAAGAATGAAAGCAATAAAGATCACTTACAACCGAACTGTGAGCTCTTCAACTGGCCTAATGAATCAGATCGGTCATAAGAACGACTTAAATGCAAATATGCAAGAGTTCACAAATGTTGTACAAGAAAACCAATTGTGTCTCATTGCCTTTTCCGAGGAAAAAATGGTAAGCTGGATGTTCACCAAAAGAGGGAAAGAGGACAAAAAGAAACCATGACGAAGCCTATACCAATCTGAAAGGCCTAGAAAAAAAAGTAATGTCTTTAAGCTGGTTAATGAAAACAGTACATACTTTGGTCACCAAAGAAGAACGAGAGCTAAAAGCATCATCAAACACCAACAGCAACAGCCAAAGCATCTCACTGTCACCTTCCAGGTGTATTTCAAGCAAAATAAAACCAACCACCACCAAAGCAGATATTAGTAACATCCATGAAGTGAACTTAATAAAACCAGGTGTACTGATTCAATAGTCAGAGAGTACTTTCTTCCCGATAAATAGAAGATCATCCGTTACTTCATTCTCTTGATGTTGCTCACTCAGCTAGTACTACGAATGTAGGACTACCAGCCTTATCAGGATTACTCAATACAAAATGATAAAAAATAACTCAAACTTACCCATGAAAAAATACGAGGTTAGCATGGCAACTATGCGCTGAATTTCTATCAAAAGAGAGACTAAACATGTCTAACAATGAAGCAGGTAGCAAGTAAATAACAACCTTCATCGTGAGTCCATCTACAAATCAATCTTTTCAGCCTCTAATCTTATGACAACTACAAGCACCTAACTTAAATCAAGTACAATTAGAATGTTTGTAACGAGCAACTCTCCTGAAGTCCTGAGAAAATAAGGCAATCTACGAGACAGGCTCTAACAAAAAGAACTATGGAAGAAGATCGTCAATCAACCTTCTGATGACCTGAGGTCTTGTAAAGCAGCGGTAACCTGTTCCCGCACAAGCTCAATCCTCTTTAGATAAACCTCAAGCTCCAGAATTTGCTGCTGCCTCCACTTATCATCACTGGGCGTTCCAGGATTTGGGCCAGCAACCCCTAAACCAAGACCAAGAATGCCAATGCCGCCGAATCCTGTGCCAAGCCCCAATCCGAATCCAGTCTGCCCAGCGACGGTGACAGAGCTGATGAACTCCTTCAGTAACGGTGACATGATACTCCTCATAGCCTCCTCGGTGGCGCCACCGGTGCTCACTGGCATGGGCGAAGGGGTCGCCGCCGCTGGTGATACAGTTGGCACTTGCAAAGGAGGTGGCGGTGCAATTGCCGGCGCTAAATTCTCGATAGCAACAACAAGCCGGTCCTCAGCCGCATCAGTTAGCATCAGCGCGGACGTGGCTGGCAATGCGGGGGCCTCCAGCTCTTGCGCCGTCCTCCTCCGGACGCGCCGGCCTCCCCTGCCCCTCGCCGTGGGCGTGGGCGAGGACGCGCTCCCGCCGCCGCCGCCGCCGCCGCCAACCTCCATAGCAGCGGCGGCTACGGGGTTGATGTCGTCCTCGTCGGAGGCGTCGGCCGCGCCGCCGCCTTCGCCGCGCCTGAACGCGGGGCGCCAGATGTGCCGCGCGACGTCGTAGATGGCGCCCTCGTGCGCGCTCCGGAACGCGAACGCGGCGCCCTGCGCCGCGACGCGCGCGGCGCAGACGCGGTACTTCTTCTTGAGGCGGCGCAGCTTCTCGATGAGCTGGCTCTTGGTGAAGTCGAAGGAGAGGCGGCGGCGGATCTCCTCGTAGAAGGGGCCCGTGTCGTACTGGTGCGACGCGAACGTGGTGCCCCGGCGCGCCGTGAAGTCGAGGAAGCCGCGCAGGATGAGGAGCTCCTCCTCGTCCGTCCACAGCCGCTGGAACAGCCGCCGCGAGTCGTCCGCGGCCGAGGCGCCCGCGGGCAGACCCTGCGGCTGCGGCTGCGGCGGCGGAATTGCGCCGGCGGGCTCGGGGGCGGGAGCGAGAGGGTGAGGTGGGACCGAAGCTGCGTCGGGGAAGGGTAGAGGATCCTGGCCCTGGGGATTGGCGAGGTCGGAGTTGGAGGCGTCGGTGTCGGTGCCCTCGTCGTCTTCGTCGCCGCCGGCGGAGGAGGAGACCGCGGCGTCGTGGGGGTCGTCGTCGGCCATGTCTGGGTTGGGTCTGGGGTCGGGAATGGATGGAGAGGGGTTTGGTTGGAATCGGTTACCGGATAGGACTGGGTCCAGCTGCTGCGTGGCACGAGGCCACGAGGCGTTGCCCGCCGCCGCCGGGCTGCGGTTGTTTTGGCTCGTCCTTCTTTCACTGCTAGGTGGGTCCGATCTGTTCGTTAGTCATAGACGAGGATTGCCCGGGGACAACAGGCAAGTGACGCGCAGGTCCAGCGTGGCTCCCTTCCTTGTTCCTTGTTTGCCCCGGCGCGGTGCGGCCGTGTGAGACGACGGCGGCGCTAGGCGTTGGTGGCGCGAGACGACGACGACGGCGTGGACGAGGCCGGCGCGGCTCCCTCCGCCGCTCATGCGCACAGCTCCTCCGCGGCGCCGGACGGGTCAGCTCCCTGTCCGCTCGTGTGCCGCCGCTGCGCACGCCGGCGATGCCCCTCAGGCCCCATGGCTTGGCCGCTCGCACTCGAATCGAAGAAACAGAGAGATACGAACATGGAAAGGGCGAGGCAGGGGACGGATGGATATGTGGTCCTCGTAAGCGAACGGATAAGGCAACGGCTCTGTTCGCTGGTCGGTCGGTAGTGGTTTGAGCTAATTGGTGTTGGGTTTTTTTTTTAAGAAAAACACTGTTGATTGGGTTGATTTGAGCTGGTTAAAATCAACCAACGAACAGGCTAAATGTACTGGTGTGTTTTTTTTCTAAAAAAAATAGTACTAACTGAAATCAAATAGAGAGAGGAAAATATAATAAAGGAAAAAATAGGAAAAGAAAAGAAAAGAGTAACATGATCATTTTATCCTTTTATCTGTTTAGATAAACTGTTTTATCAAATGATAAAAAATAGTGCTATAGCGAATTTGCTCCACAGCTGAAACTGTTTTGATCAAGAGCCGGACCACCCGCAAACAGCCCCGTAATCCAGCAAAGGCGGCGGCTGCGTTTGCATGCATATACTTCCCTTCGACAATTCACACGCAAGTTACAAACACGCCGACACCGCCTGTTCGCTGGGCCAGAGGCCGCCGTCGCTGGCTCGCCACTCCCGCTCGACGTTTGTACATGCCGCCCTGCCGGCTAAGGATGCCAACGGGACGGATTCGGATCAAACAAAGTCTCTAGACATCAAAACCGAAACCCAAACTGAAATGCATCAGTTCGGGTGAAAATCCATCTCCGAAACTAAAACCCACGGATCTTGAAACCTGACGGATTATCCGAAACCCGAAAATATTACAACAAATCAACCAAGAACAGCAGTCCAGAACATGCTAAATTAGCAAAGCAGATTGCAGATAAATAAATAAATAAAAATATATACATTAATTATTTTAACAAGATGTAGCCACTAGCAAGCAGCAGCTAGCCATGTACAGAATATGCAGAACATCTGAACACGAACATGTACAGATTACAGCAAGCAGCAGCAGCTAGCCTCCCGAGTCCGCACAGGTTGCGTGCGCCGGCGGGCCGCCCCTGGTAGGCACGCGCGTGCTGTGTGCCCAGCGGCGCCGGCTGCCGGCAGCTGCCGGACGCGGGAGCAGGGCCGAAGCCCGCCGTCGAGGGCCGAGCGCCGCGAGGGACTCGCCGCCACGGCACTCCGCGTCCGCGACAGAGAGAGAGAGGGAGGGCGACAGCTGACTGGCGGACTGGAGCGCTGGGCGAGCCGGCGAAGGGAGTGCGGGCCGGGGAAGCGGGCATATCAATTCAACTTTCTCAAAAAAAAAAACCTATCAATTCAGCCCATGAAACCGCTACCGCCGGCCCAGCCCACGGAATACTCTAGGTATTTGATTCCAGAAGCAGTGGCATCTCCATCCACACCCGTCGGCTTAACCCTAACGCCGCCGCCGCCCGCCGCTCGGGGATCGGCTGCTTTTCTCTCCCGACCACATCTACATAGCACCACCTGTCGTTCCAAGTGAGCTCCAACCCCCTGCGTGTAGATGGAGAGGATGCTCAAGGATGATGCCCGCGAAGAGAAGGGCGAGCTCGCCAGGATGGTAAGACTGCCGTCTCTCTGATCCGCGCGGTTTCTTTGTTAGGTGATTTCTTTGTTAGGTTAGATTTCGTTGTTTCGTTCTGCGGCGCTTCCCAGCTTGAGTGATGGCGTGATCTGTGGGAATTATCAAACCAGAAATCTTAGTAGCGCTGGCGCCAGTCTTTCTGGATATTTTGGTTGCTGTTCTCTTCGGGTGCTTTGCTGGCGCAACTGCTTCACTACTCTTGTGCGGTTAGTTTCAGCGGGTGTTCTGTGAATGACTGAATAGGTCCACAACGAATGACACTTTGATCTGTGGACCTTCTGATTCTTCTGAACGGAGGCAGTATTTGCTAACGCCATGTCCTTGCAGGCATCGTTTGTTGGGGCCATGGCAATCTCAGATTTGGTGAAGACCACATTGGGACCAAAAGGAATGGTATGCTTTTGAAACATATCGTTTGTCTTACAGAGAAACCCTGCACTTTACATGAGTGATAGCAGTTTTTCACTTGTTATAGTTTTTCTTTTTGAAAATTTGCAAGTGCCATTTCTTTTGTCTATGTAGGACAAGATCCTGCAATCAACTGGCAGAGGGCGTAATGTTACTGTTACAAATGATGGGGCTACCATTCTGAAGTCGCTTCACATTGACAATGCTGCTGCAAAGGTCCTTGTTGGTATCCTTTGTCATTTTGATTACTGCTTGACAGTAGTGTTGGCAAGGTGGTAATAGGACCCCCCCAAAAATAAATAATAATAATAATAATTTACGTGGCATGCCATTTTAGCAAGTTTTGGGCCCACCCAATGACCCAAAACAAGTAGAACTTACATCCCTAGGTGGGGTTGAGGTTTTATAATTTCTCTTGATCTTTCATTTTATTGATCTTAAATTTCATATTCTACTTGTGACCTCATTGGGCCCCTCTTTTGTACAACTTTTTTTTTTACTAATGAAAGAAAGGCCAGTTACTCCTTAATGATTGTTAGACATATCAAAAGTTCAAGATGATGAAGTTGGTGATGGGACAACTTCTGTCGTCGTTCTAGCTGGAGAACTTTTGAGGGAGGCTGAGAAGTTAATTAACATGAAAATTCATCCGATGACTATTATTGCAGGTATTACTTGCTGAATATGTTCTGCTTTTCCATCCTTCACATCGGAAAGTTTGGTAATTATTGTAGCAGGTCATGTTACTTGGTCTTGCTTGGATCAATCCCATAGTAACAAATCAAATAGATCAGGCATACAATACAAGGTCTAAGGATGGATTCTGCTGTTAAGCCATTCAAAATTTGAGATGCGGCTTCCTTTTTTTACAATTCATGTTTTCAGATTAATCTACCAATTTTTTTAGTAATAATAATGTATAGGCAGTGCACTGATGTTCTGATTCTAATCTGTCTTGGATTGCCTGTTTTATACCGAGCTAACTAGTATGTATTCTGGAGCACTACTAGTATGCATTCTAGAGCACTGCTGCAAAATTGCAACCATTGTTCTTTATGGCGAAATTCAATGACTCCAATGGATAATTCATTTTGTAAATTTTAGGGTACAGAATGGCTCTCGAGTGTGCCAGAGATACTTTGCTACAAAAGACCATGGACAACAAAGAAAATACAGGTGAATTATTTTCCCAATCTCATGGTTAGAAAGCATAATTTTTCAGTATTTTTAAGACACCGGCTTATTTGAGCCATTATTTTCCTGAACAATATATATGTATTTTGCATAGCACGTAGGATTTGATGTCATTGAGATTTTCTTTTGTTGGACTAATATTCAATCTCATATAAATTCAAATTCACTTCCTCTTGCATCTCATGGATTTTCTCAGGAATATGCCATCATGCTCATCAATCTCATGACAATATCCTTTTCCTTCTTCTGCAGATAAGTTCAGAACTGATCTCATGAATATTGCTATGACTACTCTTAGTTCAAAAATACTTTCCCAAGACAAGGAGTACTTTGCTGAACTTGCGGTTGATGCTGTCTTGAGGCTTAAGGTATACAAATAGTTTAATGAAAGTTGGTTATCATTTACGTTAAACTCTGATATCTTTATCTGTAGAATTTTAACTCTTGAAAAAGTATGGTTCATACTTCATAGCTACTCAGTCATGTTGTTATTCGATGATGTTATAGTATTTGACTGGTTTGTGGTTTCTATCTGAATGGTGGCAGGGTAGCACCAACTTGGAATCTATTCAAATTCTGAAGAAACCTGGAGGATCTCTTAAGGATTCCTTTTTGGACGAAGGGTATGTATTTATGGAAAAATTGTCAATTGATTCTTTTGACCACACAGCACTGGGCTGCATGCAAATTCTCTCACCTAGCACTAAGTTCTTTCTTTCTGTCAATTAATTAGTCCAACCTAAGTGCCCAATTCAATTAATTTCTGTTTTTTATCAATAATCTAACCAGTTAGCATTAACGCTACATTTTCTAAATGATCAATTGCTCATTTACCAGCCAACTAAGGTAGGAATATCGATTTGACATTTTGGCTACTTAACTAGTCCTTAATCAAACATGTGCCATTTTTTCTATCAACTGCATGTTCTTTCATTAATTATATTTTGGGAAAGTGTTTCATGACTTGTGTTAATCTCATCATTGATAGTCTTTAATCTAATAGTTTCTAATCAGGTAGTAGTTTCAAAGTAGTTCTTGCAGGCATCTATGTAATGGTTCCCAACAGAAAATGATCCTAATATCTTTTTTATTTGCTTGTTTCTATATATAGGTTCATTCTTGACAAGAAAATTGGCATTGGGCAGCCAAAGCGCATTGAGAATGCCAAAATTTTGGTTGCAAACACTGCTATGGACACAGATAAAGTTAAGATATATGGAGCACGGGTCCGGGTGGATTCAATGTCTAAAGTTGCAGATATCGAAGCTGCTGAGAAGCAGAAAATGAGAGAGAAAGTCCAAAAGATCATAGCTCACGGAATCAACTGTTTCGTCAACAGACAGTTAATCTATAACTTCCCTGAGGAACTCTTTGCTGATGCTGGCATACTTGCAATTGAGCATGCTGACTTTGAGGGAATTGAACGGCTAGCTCTTGTTACTGGTGGTGAGATCGCATCAACTTTTGATAACCCAGAGTCTGTTAAGCTTGGTCACTGCAAGGTCATTGAAGAGATTATGATTGGGGAGGACAGGCTAATTCATTTCTCTGGGGTTGCAATGGGGCAGGCTTGCACCATTGTCCTAAGGGGGGCTAGGTATGTCTTATTTTTAACTACTTATCATGTAGGACTACTTTGTTCCATTTATGCATTTCAACTTTCCATAAATTGATTTGCTTTTGCATCCCTGCAGTGAGCATGTACTTGATGAGGCTGAGAGGTCCTTGCATGATGCCTTGTGTGTGCTGTCCCAGACAGTAAATGATACCCGTGTCTTGTTTGGAGGCGGATGGCCTGAGATGGTGATGGCCAAAGAAGTAGATGAACTTGCAAGGAAGACCCCTGGGAAGAAATCTCATGCTATTGATGCTTTCTCGCGTGCTCTGCAAGCCATCCCAACAATCATAGCTGACAACGCTGGTTTGGATAGTGCTGAGTTGATCTCTCAGCTCCGAGCTGAGCACCACAAAGAGAACTGCACTGCTGGAATTGATGTCATCACAGGCACAGTAAGTTCACAAAGACAAGAGTTCTCCATTCATAACAAATTATCTATTACAGAATCTGATACTAGTCAAATTGTGTGGTCCGCAGGTTGGGGACATGCAAAAGCTGGGGATTCAAGAGTCGTTCAAGGTGAAGCAGGCCATCCTTCTGTCTGCGACAGAGGCTGCGGAGATGATCCTCAGGGTCGATGAGATCATAACCTGTGCCCCGCGCAGAAGAGAGGATAGGATGTGATTAGACACGCTGTGTCTTGATGTAGTGGGGGCGCTTGTTACCCTAGTTTTGAGGGGTATTATGGTTCAGGGGCGTTCAAGTTGGTCAGATTTCGAGTGTTTTTGGCCCCTAAGAAACTGGGACTTGTTATTTAGTTGAAACAATCAACCTTAGGCTTGTGTTCTAGATTCCCATGCTGTACCATTTGGTAGCGAAGGACGTCGTACGATATGCTTGTGCCAATCTGCCTCTACATGTTTTTTCTATTCCTCTTTTTGACGTAAGATTCAAGAATGAGCTTGTCTTTGTTTCTGTGACGTGGTTGCTACTTCTGGTGTTGGTTTTGACTTCTGAGTGTCAGGCCAGGGTGGCAATTTACCTTCAATGGTCACGTGTTACGGTGTTAGTGTTACCAGAAGACACTCTTCATATACGTATGTGGCATGACATGGCCATAATTCTCTGTCGAAACTTGGAAGTTGCGTGTAGATGTCCAAGATGTAAAGGAAGTTTTCTTTAATACTTTGGCCGTCAATTCCTCTTTACATTATTAATTGCTACTGTACAAAATAAATGTCATACTTACTAAAAGGTATTTGCAATTATAAAAGAATGGTGACATCTATGACCTGAATGTTTCTAACTATACTAGTTTTCTGTTACAAATATTAGTTGTTATAAAATTTGGTTAAATTTAAGAAGTTTGTCTTAGGAGAATTTCAGAAGTTGATTTATTTTGGGACGGATTGGAGTATAATATACGGAGTATACTGTGAACCACTTGGTATTAACTGGACATATCTGGCGTCGCGATCGGTAACTCGGTGGCCGATCTTCCATTCAGCTGCCGCCACCGCACACCACAGGCACAAGCGAAAACTGCGCTAATCAGGCTGCGTGTGGTCGGTAGAGCCACCAACAGCCTGCACTGCACGCGGGCGGCGAGAGAGTCATCAAGTCGGCGTCTCCAGCCTGTCCGGTGGTCTTTCAGGCGACGATCGCGGAGGTGAAGCAAAGTGCGGGCGGGGGCACGCCCAGTTACCGGATCATTCAACAGGTAGAGCTTCTGTTCACCTGTTGCTCCATCTAAATATATGCCCGTCTACCCGTGCATAGATTGTTCCTTGCAATCACAGTTCGCTGTTTGGTCTAGTAATCCATTTTGCTGCTAAAACTGACGCACCAATCTTGCCCATAAGGTGTTTGAAACAATGCCTGAATCCCTGAATGAGCACCACTGAACATTGGTGTTCCTTTTGCACACTAGGTGCTCAAACAAAATGCCGAGGCAGAAAGAACTCGTGTATAGAAGACAAAATGGCAGCATAGGGGGTTAACATGCAACATTCACATTCAAAGAGTTTGAAACAGTTCGAACTGAAAGGTGCAAAGAAAATGGGAATTCCCTTGATCGGCAGTCAAAATTGCTAGTTTTGTAACTATCCAGATTGGGATGCTCAAAATTGCTAGTCCAGTTTGGCAATTTGTGGTTTTAGTTCCAATATATTCAGCATTTAGATCAGCACGACATTTACATGCTGCTTTTGTTTGATGCGTTTTGCACATTAGCCTGTGTATTTTGCTGCATAATGTCTCGATGTTACTCACTGATACCTATTGTAATTAGGAGGTAGCATATTGCCCACATATCTGTTTTCTGCTTGGAGAACTGGTACGATCAATGCTTGTCAATTGCTATTCATATTTTCTTAATCAAGCATCACCACTGGAGATTGAAAGCTGTCAACTTTGGACTTGCCAACCTGATCCTGTCTCCTTAATAAAATCTGTAGAACAAATGATTGATAGAACTTTCACTGTCTTTGAACCAAGCTTTCCTCAATTCCTCTCTTTTCTTTCCCTTGGAATGCAATGGGTTCAGATGTTATTTTGTGGATTTGTTTTTGCAAATCAATTGATTCTTTTAGAATTTTCTCTAGGTATATAGCAAAATATGTTCAGTAAATGACACAATACATGAGTTAGTGTATTGTGATCGTTTCGTGATCCTTTCAGACTTCTGTTGTTGAAGACAGGTTCTGTTCCTTCAGTACTTTTCTCAGGGAAGAAAGTGTAGAAAGGTGCTCCAGCGTCAGAACAATTCTCAAATCCAGCAGAGAAGCTGAATCTGTGCACCAAAGAAGCTCAGGATAGGGATGGCACTCCGGAATGCATTGGGATGGTCAGAAGGGGAGGTGATGCGGCCCGAGTCAAAGCCTTGCTCGCGGTTGATGAGTCAGACTGCTGGCATCTTCTCCACTGGTGGCGCCCTTGCTTTCTGGGTGCTGTGCCGCCTTCATTACGGTCATGACTCCGATCCATCTAATCACCTGCTTTTAAGTATTTTTGTTCTGCCATTCAATGCATTGTAGCAGCCGATAAAGCTTGTTTGTTGTCTCCTCACTTCCTCAATGTGCTTCGAGAGAATCAGAGGCTAAACCTTTGTGCTGCCTGACCCATGCGTATATTGTACAGGTCCGAAAATAACAGTCCCAAGGAGCCTCAGGTGGGCGTCATGCGGAGCGATCTCAATGAGCTTAACATCAGCCCTGCTTGTGCGGTCCTTCAGCCCGGAGTGCGAACCTCAGAATATAGCTGCCTACGACAAACCTGAACGCAAGACTGAATAGCATCAACAAGGTTCAGGCCACTGCTACTCTCCCTATCAAATTATGTGGTTTGTTTGATTCAGTCGAGGATATACTTGTATTTCCCTTTGTATGATACGTATTTTATGCATCATATGGCCATGTTGAGTGAAGAACTACTTGCCTTTTTGTTTTGCTACTATATGCAGACCAGCACGGGTTTGTGTGTGAGGTGTGTAGAATCAATGTTGATACCTGTTGCGAAACTGCAAACCGATACTACTTTACCTTTGTGGCTTTGTCTTGAGTCAAATCCTTTCTCTTTGACTAAGTTTTCTATAAAACATATATTAGCATCAAATATGCTCAAATAAATGTGATATATGGAGAATTTAATAACGGAAATGCTATGGTGAGGATGTCCGCTTATCCAGACGCTCCCGCTCACGGGCCGCAACATCAGCCCAACAGTCGAAGCTCCTCGTCCGTTCGCCCCTAATCGTAGCCTGCTGTTTACATTCTTCAGAAAAAAAATCACCGTCCTTCGCCGCACCGCCTTGGCATTCTCCACGGTGGTTGGGGACCCGATGCCGAGCATCTCCACCAGGCCCGAGCGCGGTCGCCTGCCTTCCTCCCTCTCCATCGCGCCTCCTGGCCGCCTGCCTTCCTCCCTCTCCACTGCGTCTCCGGCTCGCCGCGGCCTTCTTCAGCTCGCCGGCCGCCTTCTCTACCGGAGCAGCGACAGCTCACGCCAGACCCGCTACAGCCTTCTCCACCGGAGCGGCGACAGCTCGCGCCAGCATGAATCGGGAGCGCCACCATCCAGCGCCGCGCCGCCATCCACCTCGCCCGTCGCGGAAGGGGAGGCCTACGCCTGCGCCTGGGAAGGCTTGCGCTTGCAACTGCGCCTGCGCCCCCATCCACCTTACGGCGTCGGTAGGAAGGGGAGGCTTGCGCAACTGTAGTTCCCCACCAGGTAGGCCATGGTCGCCGACGCCGCTGTGTTTTAAATGTTTCAGGACGTTTTTCAGACATGTTGCAAGCCTATGTTTCAAATGTTTCAGTTGTTTCAGATGTATGTTTCAAGTATTTCGTACGGATGTTGCAAAAGTAGATCGGGATGTTGCAATGGTTGTATACGTATGTTGCAAGAGTTTGTTCTCAATGTTTCATCTATTTTTTCATACATATGTTGCAAGTGTGTTTATCTGGATGTTGCATTTGTTTCACACATATGTTCCAAGTCTTTTATCTGGATGTTGCATAATATTTGCAATGGCTTAAGTGGGTTTCAGGTGTTTTTGCAAGTGTTTAAGAGGCATGTTTCAAGTGTTTCATCTGTCTTCTTTTGTACGTTGCAAGTGTTGCATCTGAATGTTCCAAAAGTAGATCGGGATGTTGCACATGGGGATGCACGTGGGAAGAGGGAGGGGCTGCGAGCGGCCCCCCGCGTGCGGTCTGGCGGCGCGGGCGACGTTCGGGATGGCGTGGGCCCGCTGCTGAGGTGCTCACTCGTAAGTCTAACGCGGGTAGGGGGCGCTCACTCACTTGCTGCATGGGTACCGTCCGACACTAGCGCTCTGGATCGGACGTCCGGGTGCTAGCAAGTCCGATTTAATAAAGCTAATTTGATGTTGTAGACCGTATATTTTCTTATAAATTTGGTCAAAGTTAGATAACTTTAATATAGGATGAATTGAAGTAATGTGAAACAAAATGAGTAGATTGTTCTCATCTTGACGTCACACGTGTTTATAGAATTAGCAAAGTTATGTGGAGCACTTTTGGCTTGACAATATTTGCTTGAAAAAAAGAAGGAAATACGCCAATCAGAGATGTGCAGATTGATATCAAGACTGCTAAACCAAATCCTAGTACAAGAGAGAAGAGACCCCACTGTTTCATGTATGTATTGGTCGAATTCGATTCGTGCTTGCACTAGTACTTGAGTCCGATTCCAACTGTGCTTCGCAGACGATATTATAATCATCTGTGCACGCTTTGATTTCTCTCGTCCCCTTCACGTAATCAAATCACGTAGCCACATGCTTTCCACGTACTTGCAGCTAGCGTTTCCAGAGCGACCGAACGAATCTGCAAGCTGCCTGGTTGTCCGGCGCAGAGCAATGTGCTGGCGAACGGCGTGGGGCCTGCCCGGCCCGGCGCCGCCGCTGCGCGCGGACTGCGCCGACGACGACGGCTACGAGGAGCTGCCGGTGTCACTGCCGCCGCACGTACCGCGGGGGCTGTCCAGGGACGACGCGCCGAGCGCAGGCGGGGAGGCCACGACGTTCGAGGTGGAGCAGGTGGTGGCGCCGGCGTCCAACGGCGGCTTCGGCATCGGAGGAGGGGCGTGGCTCGCGTTGGTCTGCGCGTCGTCCGTCTACGCGAAGGTGGCCGGTCCTTCCCCGTCGTAGGATACTACTACTGATCTAGCCGGGGTGTAAGCGTGGCGGTTCAATTTGAAAGTCGTGTCAGGTGTTCGATTACACAATTTACCATCTGTTCTAGAATTCGCCTAAAAAACTCAGGTTTGCATGGAAAAACCGTCTGGCCGGTTTTCAAAAACCGATCCAGCAGGTTTTGTAACTTGTTGAATTGCACAATGGACTTCATTGTTGTGTTTTTCAACTTCGTTGAATTGCGGAATGAACTTCACTCTTACGTTTCTCTTATTGAGACGATCGAGATGTATATACAGAGCATCGAATTTAGAGTCTGGGTGAGAAAATTATGATTCCAAATAGATTTACATACGGAAAAAACTAGCCAACTGAGGATGCTAAGGAAAGAGTATACGTGGATGAAGAGTCCCTCCCCCTCCCCCTACCCCTCTCTCAACATGCCGAAAGCCACCTCGGCACCAACGGCCACCCAACCTATCCCTCCTCCTTTCCCATTCCCCCTACCCTGGCGTCACTAGCATCACATCCGCTCCATCCTCCCACTTCCCTTACATTACCCCTTCTACCCTGGGCGTGCATCCACGAGTCGGACCAAACTCTGCCGTTAGGAGAACGAGATCATCTCTGATGACTCGGACTTAGATCTCGACTGCCCACTGCCACTGACCAGCCCTTACCTCGAGGCTGCATGTCAGGCCCCTTAGGCTGGCTCCTCCCCCACTACGGAGCCACCGCATGCCCCAAGATGAAGCAGGGCCCCTCAGTGTAGTTGGGAGACAATCCTAATAGCCACTACTTGCCTAGCCTTTTTCACCACAAACAAGCTTCCTAAACAATTGTAGTAGAAAGGTTAATACTACTACTAGAGCACTCAAACAAACTAGACACTAGCAACTACAACTAGTTGAGCTACATAGGAAAACTACTCTACTCAACTAGAGAGGCTACTGCTACAACTATACAAGCAACTGCAACTACAACTACACAAGCACAAGTATATGAATGTAAATTGCAGTGTAGAGAAGTAAACCACACGGGCAAGTGAGAGACAATGGTTTATCCTCGAGGTTCGATTGCTTCCTGGTAACCTACGCCCTTGTTGAGGCAAGTCCTTCGATTGCTGCTTCACGAGCTAAGCAAGCTTTTCAAGCTTGACCCTCAACGTGGGTGCCGCAAGAAGGCAACCAATCAAGACACTCCAACTAGCCTCTATGATTCCACTAGGGTTGCCCTTTGTGAATCTCCCGCAGGGTGAGCACAAGACCCCTCACAATCAACTCGATCAGAGCCACCAGATGAATTATAACACTCTCAATCTGTCACAAAATGTGATCTTTAGTTAGCAAAGTGAGTAGAGTGTGTTGCTCAAGCTCTCAAGGGTGTAAGCATCAACAAGGGGTTCCAAGAGAGTGGCCTTGGTCGGCCACGAGGTCTATTTATAAGGCCACAACCCAAACTAGTTGTTGCCACTTTGTAGCAATAAAAACATGTGGGGGGTATGGCCCCAGGTACCCATATGACAAGACATGGGTCGCACCATCAGAGGTGGCTTAGCCCACAAAGATCAAGATGTGCGGCGCACGACACTGATCGACGTGCACCGCAAGACTACAAGAAGATGTTATTTATTAGATATTGTATAATACCAAGGCCCCATTCGCTGGTCTGAACTTTGGCTGAAACTGGCTGAAAACACTGTTCCGGCTGAATTGTTGTGAGAGAAAAACATTGTTTCGGCTGAAAAAATAAGTCGAACAAGCCAAATTTAAGACAAGCGAACGAGGCCCAAATATAATACTTTCCTTGTAACCCTACCTCTCTAAAGCATATAAGGAGGGGCAGGGGTCCCCTAGTCGACACCCCCATACGGATCCTAGGCTTAGCCTAAGGTATTTGATCACACGCAATATCATACGATAGCCAATACAAACCAACAGACCATAGGAGTAGGGTATTACGTCGTGCAGACGGTCTGAACCTGTCTAACTCTTGTGTATCTATTGCCTTCTTATTCTTGATTACGCGTACCTCTACCGATCAATCTACCTTCATGTGATATTCTTGGAGGACTGTCGATGATATTCTGTCGATAGTTGACGCGTCAGGTAGGGGTGTGCGTGTTGTTTCCATAACGAACAAGACGGTACACTTTTCAGGCTCTTCGTCCTCTCTAAAACCCAGCCAGATCTTTACGGTCGGATCGATCTCCTAGGTCATCAATGCTGACGGAGATGGAGAGATCATCAAGCCGGTGCAGATCGATTCTACGCCGACCACACCGACGCATACGACAGCAGATCCGATCTCGAAACCGCCTCCGAGGTCGTCTTCACCAACAACTCGTCGCCTGCTGCCCCGCTACTCGAGGAAGCAGGTCGGCAACGATGATCGCCCCGACGAACGACGCAACAGTGACCGCAACCACGACGACAGACCGAAAAGCTCGAGGGCCGCGCAATTTCATCGACGACCGACCAGACATTCTGTCTAAAGATAAGTCACGCTTTAATATTTTTCTAAATATTCTTCAATCTTCATATATCGTCATGATGTTTTCTCGAGCTGTTTTCTCCATGTTTGTTCTCCAAACGATTTTCTTTCATGTATACCATCTTAAAGATGACATACAACTAAGCCTAAGGCAAATCCCCGAATAGTCATGTTGATGTTCGGATGTTCCTAGAGACGGCTCTGTCTCCGGCTTCTCCCTACATGTGCACGAGCACATGCCGTCTGCGTTTGGGGTGGTCGACAGCTCCTCCTTAGCGACACCCTGCTCTTCCTACACGCACACGGGCTCCGCACTCCACGTTATGTTTAACAGGCTAGCTAGGGCTAGAGACTCAGCTACACACTAACTGATCGAGCGGTTTATATTAAATATAAACACATCTTCAGAATAACACTAAGTGTTCACACCAACTGATCGCCAAGCTGCATACGCTATTTCATCACCATTGCTGATTCTTCTTCGGAGTTCATATATTTTATTTTTATATCATATACTACCCGTTCTACATGTTTGTATTGCAGGATCATCGTCCAGGTGGTCGGACCACCTGATACTCGGACTTCTTCGTCGATCAACTGGTCGGACCGCTAGGTTTATGGACTTCGTCGCCGACCAGTTGATCGAACTGTTCGCCGGTCACTTCTACCCAATGCTCACTTCGCCGCCGACCAGTTGATCGGACTGTTCGCCAGTTACTTCTACTCAATGCTCACTTCGCTGCCGATCAATTGGCTGGACTGTTCGTCGCTCGGACTTCATCGTCAGCTACGCTAGGGGCTTACCAGCTAAGCCGGGGACTCCTCGGCATTTGAATTTTTTGTGCAAGCGTCGCCAGCTAAGCTGGGGACTTTCTTGGTGGCCGGGTCTTGCTACGTCTCATCGGTGTTCTATCAAGTTGCTCCATGTTGTTCGAATCAGGGTGCTGATCTTGGGCAGCACGTCTGGGGTCTTGATACGCGCATGTCAAATGACGTCGGCAAGCTTTCATACTTCTTTTCTTTAACCCTACTATAAGATTCATTCTTCACCTTCCAGCAGGTTCGGGGACTAAGTGGCTACACTTCATCTGGTGGTGAATGTAGTACTCTTTTCTTGATTTACTCTCTTTATTGGCGGAGTCTAAGTGGCTACACTTCTCCTAAGGGGAAGAATTTTTAAATTTTATCTTAAACCCCTTACATCCTTCTGGCAAGCCTTACTTGGCTAAGTCCGAGGTCTCCTAACTAGTTAAACTGATCGGCATTGACTTTCACCTCCCAGGTCACCAGTTAAACTGGTCGGCTTTGATTTTCACCGCCCAAGTCACCAGTTAAACTGGTCGGCTTCGACTTCCATCGCTTGGATCACCAGTTAAACTGGTCGGCTTCATTTTCAAACCGCTTTCGGACTTGTTCAAGTCAAAGTATACAAGGCGCCGGGGGACTAAAGGTATGGTCTCGAGATACCACTTCAAGACATAAGCTTGACCATCATAAGCTCTTGCATGATGTTATGTCTCTAGGTGTAGGCACGGATCACACCCGCATACCACTTTGTCTTTGATGAGTTCACGCCAAACTCCTTTGTGTGGACTTGTTAAAGACAGCGTTCCATACCAAAGTATACAAAAAATATGATGATTTTCTAAAGATATATTAAAATATCAAATAGTCGGAGGTCTACAACTTTCAGTTTTGAGTTTTTTCACAGAATTCGTTAATGATGATTTTCTAAAAATATTAATAACATATTTGAACCGCATTTTCATAAGCTCTTGCATGATGTTATGTCTCTAGGTGTAGGCACGGAAATCTTGATCACACCAGACACCACTTTGCTGCTGGAGTTATTTGATATCAAGAAAGGCAATCGAGGAAAAGCGATATTTCACCACGAGGCAAAAAATCTGGACGCTCTTAACCTATTTGGTATACAGTTATTTGTGGGTATTCTTGTTGCTTGCACTATGGTTTCTCAATAAATCACGTTCCGTTCAGTATATTGATTAGAGCACCTAGCTGTTGATAATGGCTTGTGGAAGTTTTATCTTGTTTTTTTTCCTTTCTTTTATCTTTTGTGAATGTTTAGTTTACTTAACTAGTTTATGTTGTTACTGTTCTAAATGCTTGGATTAAAGGACACCTCTTTACCTATTGCAGCTTCCTCATCATAATATTACATTCCAAGTATCTTGACCTGGATTATTTGTTGATAAAAGGGGAGCATATTGGGATGTGCCATTGTCATTATCGGCTGACCTTGCTTCAGTTGGCTCCAGTTCTGGATTGAGTTATCATCTATTATTGCAGCAGAATAGTGGGGAACCAAAATGTTTTGGTGGTGATGAAACAGATGATGTTCCTATTGCTCTGCTACCTGGCCTATGTGCTAAAGCGGCTATTTCCATCAAGAAAAGCATTGATGCTTGGAGGAAAAAAGAAGATAAGCTAAAAAAACGTTCAGCCATATGATATATTTCTCTCGGATTCACATGTTTCTCTTACTGGTATCGTTGGTAAGT